TTTTTTTTTTTTTTCTTTTTACAGATTTATTGAGTTGTCATATACCATACAATTCACCCATTTAAAGTGTACAATTCAGTGGTTTTTAGCCTATTCGCAGCTATGCAGCCATCACCACAATCACTTTTAGAACATTTTTATCCTCAAAAGAAACCCTGTACCTGTTAGCAGTTACCCCTTCTCCAGCCTTGCGCACCACTGTCTACTTTCTGTCTCTGAATATATGCTTATGTTAGACATTTCACAGAAATGGAATCATACAGTATGTGGTCTTTTGTGACTGGCTTTTTCCACTCAACATAATGTTTTAAAGGTTCATTCATGTTGTACATCTTTCAGTACTTCATTCGTTTTTATAGCTCAATGGCATTTCCATTTTTTGGGTTTATCCACATATCAGTTGATGAACATTTGAGTTCTTTCCACTTTTTGGCATTTATAAATAATATTGCTATGAACAATCATGTACAAGTTTTTGTGTGGGTGTGTGTTTTCATTACTGTTGTGTGTATACCTAATAGTGGAAATGGTGGGTCATATGGTAACTCTGTTAAACCTTTTGAGGAATGGCCAGACTGTTTTCTAAACTAGCTGTGCCACTTTATGTTCCCACCAGCCATGTTTTAGTATATTAGGTTTCCAACTTCATATGCTCAGCAGCACAGTTACTCTCTGGGGACTTGCTTTTGTGTATTGTTTTGTTTTTAATGGTAGTAACCTGAAAAACATTGTGGAAGATTATCAAAAGTGAGAATACCTAGTATATATTAGACAGTAGGGTGAGCACTCTCCATTTCATTTTCTGACCTTTGTCACAAGCCTGCGAGGTCAGTGGTTTTTCAACACGTGAATGAACTGAAAAGAGAGGATAATTTTTTCTAAGCAACAGCTAGTATATTTTGAAGTTAAAATTTGAACTCAGATCTGTCTGGCTCCCAAAACCTCTACTCCTTCCATACTCTTAGGTGGCTATGGGGCTTAAGAGGAATAGACCAAGTCTGTGGCAGATTGTCAGAATTTGGTAAACAGCGAGATATGGGGAAGAGAGAGGATGGAACATTTCTAGGTGATGACCAAGTTTAGAGACCGAGTAGAAAGTGATAAAACTAAAATTCAGCTAGACTCCTTTTCCTTCCCTCTTCCCCGCTTCCTGCCTGATTGTCAGGTTGTCAGGGAAGACTGTGAGTTCTTTTGGAACACTTTAAAGTTGACACTATTATAAGTCATTGAGATAGAATTGTTTGGTTGGCAGGTGGAAATTTGTGTGTTGTCATCTTGGAAGTAACCTGGCACTTACTAGAGTGAAAGGGCACTCTGGTGCCAGTTGGGGGATTACATAGTGTAATGGAAAGTGGACAGGTGTTATCAGACCTCCATTTAAATCCCAGGTGTGTAACACTTACTAACAGTAACAACTGGAGCAAGTTGCTTAATCTCTCTGAGCTTGTTTCCCCTTCTGTAAATCTTGATTGGACTGCTTAAAGATTGAGATAACCTGGGGATAGGTCCTGATATAGAGCAGGTATGGAATAAACGTTGGTTTCTTCTCCAGGAAAGTTGTGTAGGATGAAGATAAAGGACCAAAAACAGAGTCCTGGGGAAGTCTTGTAAAGAAATGGGCAAAAGAGCCAAGACCTATTAAAATAGACAGGTGGGAGAGGTCACAGAGCTGAAGTATAACTTGGAGGAAGTGATGCTGTGAAATCAAAGGTAGAGACATTCGAGAAGAGTTGGTCACCGGTATCAAGTCCCATGATGTGATCAGGAAAGATGACTAGCAGTGGTCCTTTATTTGTGACATTTAGGAGGCCTTTGGAACTTGGAGGAGAGCTGTTTTGGATGGGAACCAGATTCTAAAGGGTTGATCAGTGAACTCACGATGCTAGTATATAAAGGAAAAGTGGTAAAGAGGAGGTAGGAATAAGGATCTTAATCTTGTTTCTTTTGTTTTGCTTTGCCTTTTTAAGAAAAGTGGAGTAGACTTGAATGTTCATTCTTTCATTCCACAGTTGTGCAAGGTGTTGTGCTAGGCCCTGGCGAGGCAGAGATGGGCAGGTTTATAACCTGAGGGAAGGCGGGAGTGGAGAGAAAGGAGGGGATGCAGAGACAGAGATAACATGAGATGACCAAGGAAGTAAGGACCTAGAAAGGCAGGAAGTGACCCCTCTGCAGGTTCTCCCAGGAGTGGAGGAAAGAATTTCTTTTCTGAAAGAGGAAAGCAGTGTCTAACAGGTGAGTGTGATGGTGGAGTGAGGGAAAGGAGGGTGGTTTTTGAGTGAAGGTCTTTATTTTCTCTGTGAAGAGAGAGGGTAGGTTACTGACCACGTGGTGGAGGTGGTGGGTCGATTAGGGTTAGAGTAGGGGATTTAGGATCATAATAAAATTTGGACTTGAAGAGTAGAAAAGGACAATAAAAGTTGATTAAAGTTTATTAATCATTGTGACAAAATGTTGATTTCTCTGGTAAACACCTGAAATTCAGTTCTTCTGGTCTTAGAATTCTGTGTTCTTCTAGAGTGATGCCAGGTAATTTTGCTCAATCATTATTTATTCTTAGACCCTAGAGGATGTCTAGAAGGGGATTGTATCCTTCTCTTTTTCTTTCTGATCAAGTTTCTTGATAAGTTTCCTTTGTTGTTATCATTGATTTTTTTCTGGTTAGTTTACTTGTTTAACTCTGGATATGAAATTGATGTTCAGAGTTGTATATTTGATATTTAAGTTATTTTAGCCACATATCTGAAAATAAGAATGTATACATTATTGCTGAGAAAATTGTTTATGTACAATGAAGAGAAACATTTTTAGTGATGAATCTGGGATTCTTGAAAATCAGTGGCTTATATCCGATTTAGCTTTCAGATGATTCTTTTGAGAATTCAAACAAAACACCTAGACAACCTGAAAGAGAAGTGAAGAAGAAAGATGCATTGCCATGGTGGATAACTGAAGATGATTTTGAAGATGGTGGTAAATATTGCTGGGTTTTTTATTTCAAATTATTTGACCACAAGGGGTCAGTCAAGACTTTTAATTCTGGGATTTTGTTGTTGTACTATAGGTATTTAAAGAAAATAATACTAGTATTGTGACTTTTTAAAGTTTGAATTACATATTACTTCATTTTATTATGTATTACGCAGTTGAGAATCTATGATGATTCTGCATTATCAGGTTATATTGTTATATTGGGATAATTTATATTCACTCAAATTAAGATGATAAATAACACGGGCATATTTGTGTATTGTCATGTTTCATGGCAGATTGATTTGAGATGATTTAATAAAATGTTCTGACAGTGTATTAATGTCTTTGCACTGGGTAGATTTTAAGAAATCTATAGATTTTGGTATCACAGTCTGTTAATAACAATAGCAAAAAAGTAATTTATTGCCTTGGTAAAGAACTCATTGTTGATCCTATCTGACATACATGTATAGCTTTCCCAGAACTAGTCCTAGTCACATCTTTACAAATGGAAAACTACTCTCTGGCACCTGTGCTTTGGTATACATGCTATATAGGAAACTGCCATTATCCATAAGGAACCCCAGACCGTGTCTATTAACCTATGTTCAAACTATTTGTGGATCTTTAAGCACCATTTTGTAAACTTGTAGGATTTCTGTATCCCTGGAGGAAAATTTGCCCTGTAGCTTTTGTTTTTTCCCCATGCAATTAAGCCCAGATTCCTTAATGTGACAGCTAAGGCTCGGTATCATCTGACTAGGACCCTCCTTTCTAGCTTTCTGTGCTCCAGCTATACTTACTCCCTATCTCCTGGAAACATCATTGACTATGCCTCTGTGCCTTAGCTCATGCTTGCTCACCACAAGGCTGCCTTTGCTCTCATCCTTCTTGTCTAGTAAAGCTTGACATTACCTCCGTCCAATCCTTTCCTAACTCTTCTAGATCCCTTTTCAACATAATTATTTTCTCCTTCGTTTTGATTTCAAAACATAGCAACAGCACTTACACATTGTGTTGATAGTTATAACCCATAGGGCTACTCCTGAGGTTGTGAGCTTTGTGAAGGCAGGAAACACTTCTTTTTGTTTGTATCCCCTGACCCTCAACAGTAAGTAATAAATGTGTTTAATAAATGAATGTTAGAGTGAATTTGATAGTCATTTCTCTGTTCTTAAAATTATAAATAAGGAATTGCCTTACTGAAAAATACAGTGCATTTTTTCAGAAGTCCCCCAACCATGTAACAATGCTAAAGTTTGCATGCAAAGAATTCTTTTTTAGAATTTTCCCCCCATTGGTGCTTGGAAAGGATATTTATTATATGATGAAGTACTATTGGAATTGTTTACGAAGATTTGAGACTTAATTAGCATTAAAGTCTCTTTTCTAGAAAGTCATGAATTAGAGATAGAATGTGCATACTCATCCTAAAGGAAAAGAATAGGTCCTGGACCAACACTGGAATGTAACCTGGCAAAGTTATTAATTTTTAAAAAAGAATTTATCAATCAGAAGTGGATTTGATTAGTAAAAGATGCAAATAAGGATACTTAAGCAAACTTTGACAATATCCGTTTGAACACAGAGGAGAGGGTTTTTCTACCCAAGGACATAACCTGGTCCCTGGTTCAATCACAAACATTTATTGAGTTCATGGTATATTATGCATACCAGACACTAGTATACAGACAGGGTATGAGTCCTCCATCAAGAGTGTAGAAGCATCACAGCGGGGAGGTAAACAGCCTCAGGAGGAGAGGAATGCATTACCAAATTTGGATAGGCATCAGTAAACATCAACATTGAGCTACTTCAACCTTAGAATTTTTCTTTCAACTGCCATAAGGATAAATGTTCTGCCTAGAGGATGAAACAGTCTAATCCTTCTACAGGTTATACTCTTCACTATGAATGATCGAATGGATCTGGGTTTTGGTTATTAGTTTCTTGTAAGCTCAGTTAGTCTGGTCATATCCCTGAGTCCAGCTTCAGAGCCAGGGTGAGACTCTACAGACACCACAACAGCACCCCAACCCGTGGCATGCGCTTTTTCATTGGAAGTGTCTATAGATATGTCTTTTGATACTCTGCAACCGTAGAAGTTATTATTTGATGTATAAAACCATTATTTAATACACAGAGCCATGAGAAATAGATGCTGAATCCTTTCCAAGAGGACACTAATTAAGATACTGAAGGCAGAATTTGTGACTTATTAAGACTTCCTTCTAAGCAAAAGTGGTATTCTAATCTTAATATTTATACCACACAATGTAATTATTTAACTTTTCCATATTTCAGGTTTTTTTACAACAAATGTATGCTATTATGATAAATGTTGATATTGCATAACTTTTTCAGTGTTTTCTAATGTTTTTGGAATAAAGAGCGAAACCCTACTTTGGGCTATGAGTACCAGCCTGGTCTGTCTGACCCATCGATCCTGCTCTGGGCTTATTTCCACCTGGACTCACCCTCACAATCTAGATCCAACCTTACTGGCCTTTTTGTGTCTTCCAGTGTGGCCTGCCCCTCCTGTTGCTGACCCTTTCTTTGTACCTTTCCTTCTTCCTACTCAGAATGGTCTCCCCTTTCTCGTTCACCTAGTTGTTTCTTACTCTTCCTTCACATAAGGCAGAAGATATCCTTACAGTGGCATGGTATACTGTATTAAATAGTTGTGCTTTCAAGTAATTTTTAAAGTTTGTTTCATTATGTATAAACTTTTGAAATTATTTCATAAGATACACTGCAAATAAATAGTACTGTAATTTTTCTTTGAATTTTATGTTTGATGGATTTTTATTAAATGGTGTTGGATTTTTATCAAATGGACCAGATTTATTTTATAGCTACTATCCACAATATTAGTATAACAGAAAAAAAAGTTAGTGTAACAATATCACTGGGTAATACATTGTGGTCAGAACAGTTTTGTGAACATAAATATCCAACTGTATCTTAAATCCCACCCCTAGGACAGCTTGGAACAAATGTAAGCTATGTGAAAGCTAAGAAGACTTCTCAGCCTAATATGGAAATAGAAGAGGAGTGTCCTGAAAGGATTCAGTTTCTTCAGAGCAGTGGAACCTCTATCTTAAGTATTGACAGCTTAGAAACAAATGGTAAGAAATATGAGGGATACAAATTGACAGGTTAATTACTATGCTTATAATTAAAATTTTTATAAAAATTAAATTGTATCTTCTAGCCTCCTTTACTGAAGTGTGTAGACATACTTAATACCTTCCTGGAAGGTTTAGAATTATATCTTGAGAGAAACCTTACAATGTTACATATTGATTATGAATATAAATCTGTATTTGGTGGATAAGAGATAAAGTATTTTTTAAATTTTTAAAGTTTTATTAAGGACATCAATAAATGCACCATTACAATTAATTTTGTCAAAATTCTGCATGTTAATAAAAATATATTCATTCTTTTCCATTTAGAGATCATAGTTTCTGAACTCAATCATAGTGTTCTTGGATTGGGATTGGACACATTAGAGGAACAAGAGGAAAAGGAGCAATTTTTTGCCAGGCTTGAGGAAGGCTTAACATCTTCCATTGATTATTCAAGATTAAATAAGGAATTGGATTCTAATGACTCCACACAATTTAAAGCTTTACATAGGTAATATATATACAATATCAACTATCATTAAATGATTTTTATGTTTTTCCATATTTTTGGAAGGCTGGTATATGCATGGACTTAAATGGATAAACATTATAACAGGTACATGTTGAATCTTATTTTATCTCTTTTTTCTCTGTTCATTTTTTTGGTCATGGTTTCTCATATATGAATGGAATATGTTAATTTGTGTTTGAGAGCCCACTCTGCATCCAGCTATGTGAAATGTCATGCCTGAGATGCTACTGAGACTAATGGCACACTGTAAAAAGACCTTACTAGGAAAGTAATTTATTTATTATTATTTTTTTTAAGTTTATTTATTTTGAGAGAGAGAGAGAAAGAGAGCGCATGCACATAAGCAGGAGAGGGGCAGAGAGAGAAGGAGAGAGCGGATCCCAAGCAGGCTCCACAGTGTCAGTGTGGAGCCTGATGCGGGACTTGAACTCACGAACTGTGGAATCATGACCTGAGCTGAGATCAAGAGTCGGATGCTTAACAGACTGAGTCACCCAGGTGCCCCACAAAAGTAATTTATTAAGCAATTTTCCACAGATAAGGTAAATAAGAAAGTTCAGGTAGCTGTTATAAACTCAGAGAAAATAGGGACAGAAAAGAAAGGAGGAACCAGGGAGTAAAAGATAGGTTTTGTTTCTGTCCTTTGTGTGTGGTTGGCCCTGATGATTATCAGGAAACTTCATTTATCCTGGAAATCCTGCTAGCTGACTGAGCTGGTCATCTGTAAATAGAGCCGACCTTTGACCTTTTAAAATTATAAATGGAAGTCATATCACATCTTCAAGGTTTTAAGAACACCAACTATAATTAAGACTGAGGAGAATCATAACCTTTGGTTATTGGAGTACCTGGTCTTATGATGCTTAGTTTCTCACAGACCAGGGGTAAAGCAGTATAGTGACTGTCACGAACTGTATAGAGTTTGAGATTTTTACCCTACTTATAAACTAACAAATTAGCTGGTCAGTTTTATGGATGCTGAGTATAGACACGGTTTCCTGGGTCAGAAGCAAAGGACTTTATTTCTCACAACAAAAGTCCAGTCTGCATCTCACATTTATTTGCCTCAGTTCCCCCATGCTCCACATGGCCTGCAGAGGCAACATGGAGAGTCCATAATGGCTCTCTGCATGGATGGTGGGTTGCTTTACAGGAAAAGATCACTGAGATTGGGGAATCTATTGCTTTTATAGTAAGAGGAAACAAGCCTGCTCCTTTTCTTGGAGGAGATACTGCCGCATCTCTCAAGGTTGCTTGATGCACACACAATCCTGGGAAATGACCTAGGAATGAGGGGTTTGTGCCTTCCTTTCTTGGTGTACCCCACAAGAACATGCAAGGACACTCAGGGCCCGTGCTGATTGCCTCTCCCAACAGTGACAACACAGATTAAGCATACACAGGATCATTGGCCACAGGTTTTTGCACCTTTGCAATATTTCTTAGCTTGTTTTATTTCTTAACATTATTCCTAACTACTGATATTTCTGTTCTAGAATAGGCCGGTTAGTGTGATAAATAGCATTGAGTACACAATAGTGTTTGCTGCTGTTATTATTACTACAGTTTTATAGCTTCTTGGATTTGTTGATCTCACTAAAGAGAGGGTTCATGGACTGAAAAAAGTAGAAGGGAGTCCTTGCTTTGAAAGAAGACAGTATATGAACTAAAAGTATACTCAGTTTATTTAAAACTTGCTCAAGTTCCTTTGTCACCTTGCTGAGATTTTATAGGTTTAGGCCTTGTATTCAGCCTCCATTTCATGATTAAATTGCTTGTTAACATGTAAATGCTGAACCTGGCATTCTTTTCCGGCCTCTATGTAGACTTCACTGGTTCTCATAACTTATAGTCAGTTTCTTTTGTTAAATGTTCACTTATTTTTGAGAGAGAGAGAGAGACAGACAGAGTGTGAGTGGGAAAGGGACAGAGAGAGAGGGAGACACAGAATCCTAAGTAGGCTCCAGACTCTGAGCTGTCAGCACGGAGCCCAACACGGGGCTCAAACCCACAAACCGCGAGATCATGACCTGAGCCGAAGTTGGATGCTTAACCAACTGAGCCACCCAGGCACCCCCGTGGTCAGTTTCTAATCTTTAGTTTATAAAGGATATCTGAGCCCTGAGACATGTAAAGGCACACATTTATGTGTAAAATTGTGTGTATTCGTGTATAAAGTTAAAAAATATGGCATTTTTTCTCTTTGCGTTAATTGATAGCGACAGTCTTAGGCTTTGAGGATTCTTTCTTTTCAAAACATTTTCTTTATAGCTCCTAAATTTTTAGTTTTTGATAGAATAAGAGTACTTGAGAAGAAAATATATGTTAGGGATTTTTAAAAAATATACATGAAAGATTGCATGGGAACCTATTATTAACATGTAATACTAAATTAGGTAATTTTTTTTTTTTTTAGTAGTCAAGCTAATGTAGAACTAACTGAAGATAAACATGAGAATGAATTGAAACATGAACTAACAGGTAATTTTATTGGTTTTAAAATTTACAATATTTGTAAAGGTAGTATAACTTTTAATAAATACATTGATAGAAAAATAATTAAAAGGAAAATAGTATCTTGGAAAGAGCTTTGAATGGGTAGAGTGAACTGCCTATGTTACAATCTGAGCTCCTAAGAAATTGTTGAAAGTGCAGTATTGCCTCATTTGTTGGGAGTGGGTGGTGGACCAATTAGGAAGATAGAAAAAGGACCATGGGAATCTGTGGAGCCAGGACCAGTATCTCTAAAGCGTGGCTCTTCAGGTATTTCTTTTTATCCTTTGACTTTTAATGTGTCTTTGTCTTTGTTTTTATATTTAAAATGATTTTCTCATGGATTGTATATAGCTGGATTTTACTTTTCTATCTAATAATCTGACAGTTTCTGACTTCTGACTGACATGTTTCTACCCTTTATAAAAGTAAATTCATTGGTATGGTTGTTTACCATTTGTTTGTTTTGTTGCTTTTGTCCTGTAGTCTATTGGATTGAGTACTGATAGCATTCCATTTTATCCCTTGTTTTGGCTTGTTAGTTACACTTCTTTGCTGTATTTTTTTTTTTTTAGTTTTTCTTTTAAATTTTTTAAAGTATTATTAATTTATTTTGAGAGAGACAGCGTGAGCAGGGGAGGGGTAGAGAGAGAGGGAGACGGAATCTCAAGCAGGTTCCACGCTGTCAGCTCAGAGCCCGACACAGGGCTCAAACTCACGAAACCATGAGATTATGACCTGAGCTGAAACTGAGAGTCGGACATTCAACCGACTGAGCCACCTAGGTGCCCCATTTTCTTCTTAGTTTTTCTATGATTCACAGTGTGCATCTTTATCTTATTAAAGAAAGTACATTCAAATAACATTATACCAATTAAGTGAGTCTTAAAAACAGTAAACTCCCTCCCAACCTTTTTGGTATTTTTGTCATATATTTTTCTTCTATATGTTAAAACTCCATGATGCATTATTATTATTATTATTATTATTATTATTTGTAACTGTCTATTAAAAAAATTTTTCAGGAAGATAAAAAATTTATATACATGTAAAAACATTTATCCACTTAGTTATCATTCCTAGTTTTTTGTATTCTTTTGCATAGATTTGAGGACTTTATATTTCTTATTTGAAATGGATTTTTAAAAATTAATTTTTAAATTGAAGTATAATTGATATATAAGATTATTTTCAGGCATACAACATAATTATTTGATACATTGTGAAATGATCACCATAGCAAGTCTAGTTAATATCTATCACTAGCACAAAACATTTTTTTTCTTGAGATAAGAACTTTTAAGATTGATTATCTTAGTAACTTTCAAATACAGTTGAACCTTGCACAACATAGGGGTTAGGGATGCTGACCCCCTGCACAGTCAGAAATCTGTGTGTAACTTTTGGCTCCCTAGAAACTTTACTGTTAGCCTCCTGTTGATTGGAAGCCTTAATGAGAACCACAACAGTTGATTAACATATATTTTGTATGCTATGTGTATTATATACTGTATTTTTAAAGTTAGCTGGAGGAAAGAAAATGTTATTAAGAAAGTTGTAAGGAAGAGAAAATACATTTACAGTACTGTACTGGAAAAATATCCTCATGTAAGTGGAACCAGTTGTAGTTCAAACCCATGTTCAAGAGTCAGCTGTGGTAACTACCTAGTATTTTGAGTTTCTATGTAGTAATTTTTTTCAGCATGAAGAACCTGGGTCTACTAGGAAAAACTTCTGGAGTTTTGTTTTCTTTGATCACTTTAGCAATTTCATTTTGTCTTATGGTATTAGTTCTCATGAGGAATCAATGATAATTCCTATTATGATTAATGTATATTGGGTCTTTTTTTTTTTTTTCAAGATTTTTCTCTTTAGCCTGGTTTTGAGGCAGTTTGATAATGTATCTTGGTGTGCTGTTCTTGTATTTATCCTCTTTCGAGGTGGTTGAGCATCATTGATCTATGGATTTGTACTTTTTTTTTAAATTTTTTTTTTAGTGTTTATTTATTTTTGACGGAGAGAGAGAGACACAGCATGAGCGGGGAGGGGCAGAAAGAGAGGGAGACACAGTATCCAAAGCAGACTCCGGGCTCTGAGCTGTCAGCACAGAGCCCGATGTGAGGCTTGAACTCACAGACCTCGAGATCATGACCTGAGCTGAAGTCGGACGCTCAGCTGACTGAGCCACCCAGGGGCCCTTATGGATCTATACTTTCCGTCATAATTAAAAAAAATGTTTTGTCCATGGGGTGCCTGGATGGCTCCATTGGTTATGCATCTGGCTCTTGATTTCAGCTCAGGTCATGATCCAGGGTTGTGGGATCAAGCCTCATGTCCAGCTCTGCGCTAAGCATAGAGCTTGCTTGAGAATCTCTCTCTCTTTCTGTCTCTCTCTCTCTCTCTCTCACTCTGTCTCTCTGTGTCTGTCTCTCTCCCTCTCCCTCTCTCCCTCTCCCCTTCTCCCTCTCCCTCCCTCCCTCCCCACTTTGTCTCTCTCTCTCTCTCTAAAATAAAAAAATAAAACATTTTTTAAATTGTTTTGCTCATTAATTCTTCAAATATTATTTCTGTCATCCCCTACCCTCTGACTTCAATTATAATTATGTGAAATGACTAAATTTTGCCCCACAGGTAACTAAGACTTTCATTTTTTTAAAGTTTTTTTCCTCTCTGTTCTTCAGTTTTTATTACTGTGTCTTCAGGTTCCCTGATTTTTTTTCTTCTTTCTTTTGATCTTTTGTTAATTCATTGAATCTTATATTTTTTTTCTTTCAGTCTAGAAGTTCAATCTAAAAGTTTGAGGTCTTTTTAAAAAAATTTCTTCAGTATCTTTTCTCATGTTCATTTTTTCAAGTTCTTAGCATTAAGCATATTCTACTGATCCCAATGTTTGTGCATTTGTAGGTCTCTTTCTATTGACTGCTGCTTCTCCTAGTTACGGTCACATTTTCCTCCTTGTAAGTCTTAGTGATTTTTTTATTGGGTGTTGGATATTGCAGACTTTTACATTGTTGAGTGTCTGCATTTTGTTTTCTTCTTATAAAGAGTGTCGAGCTTTGTTCTGGCAGATAACTGATTTTGATAGCTTGATCCTTTCAAGGCTTTTCTTATGCTTTATTAGAGGAAGTCTAGAGTAGACTTCCACAGTACAGTTTGACACTAGGAGTAAGGGACAGCCTTTTTGAGGTTCCTACTGAATGACCCTATTAAACAATGAGGAAATTTTCCACTTCAGCTGGGTAGAGTTCCAGAGTCTCACTACCCCTTGTGAGCTCTGTGAATTTTCCAGCCTGTAGCTTTTCAGTTACTCAAACTATACAAATATGACTTAATATTTAGGAAAGACTCAAGGAGACCTCATGCAGATCTTTAGAGCTCTGTTTCTACATAGGTATTTCCTCTGTTACTGCCCTACAACTTCCGATTGCCCAGCTTTTCTGCTCTTATCTCTGTCACCTTAGCACAGTGAGACTGTCCTGATCTTCCCCTCCATGCTTAACATTCATGAATGTATGTACCTTCAAGTTCCATAGGGCTCACCTCACTTGTTTTTCTTTTCTTAGGAATCATATTTTTGTGCTGCCAGTTGTCCAATGTCTGTAAATAGTTGTTTCATATATTTAGTCCAATTTACTCATTGTTTACAAAGTTCTTGAAATCCAGGATAGTAGAGGAGAAAGTCCTGTAAGTTGCATCATATTCAAATTAAAATTTTCAGGGAAATTTTCCCACAAAGAATGAAAATGTCTACAAAATCTATCATTCAGATCTTATACATTGACTGTTATTTATTTTATCTGAATTTTAAAACACTTCTTCTTATGCAAATAATATTTTCAAAGTTGCAAAGTTAGGGAATATAATAATAGAAATAGTACCTTGAATGTATAACATCTTTGTCTCAAAAAGGTTAGAACACTACAAATGAATATTCTCATTGTTTTCCAAACAATATGGAAGAGCCAGCATATTATTATCTCTGGGATTTCTCATATGAAAACTACCTTCTCAATGTGGTTTTACTCTTTCATTTTTATATAAACTTAATTTGCCTTAATGTTTCTGAAATCTCTGATATGCTGTTTTATTTCCACTTATTTCTCATCTGTTGTCATCTCTGTATCTACCAATGATGTTTCCTTAGTTTACTCATGACAAATTCCTAGAGAAGGGATTGGTTACTTATATGTTATAGTATTTGCCTGTAGATGATTCAGTTACAAAATGCAACTAACAAAATGTAATTTTGAAAAATGCACATTAGCACTTTTTCCAATCCAAAATAACATTTGGCCTTATTAACTTTTGATTCAGATTAAATGCAACACTAGCTATAATAATGCTAACAAAGATAATTATTACTAAATGTAATAGCTAACACTTTTAAATAGGGCATATGATATACCAGCCACTCTTCTAAACACTTTAACTCTTAATCTTCTCAGCAACCATTTGAGATAAGTGCTATTAGCATCCTCACTTTACAGATGGGGAAAATGAGGCAAAGAGGATTTGTGACTTGCCAATGATTCTATACTATAAGTAGTAGAACCAGGAATTAAATCCAAGCCTTCTGGCTCCTGGTCATGCTCCTTTTTTTTTTTTTTTTTTTTTTTTTTTTTAAAGACTTTATTTTTAAGTAACCTCTATACACAATGTGGGGCTTGAATTTACAACCCGGAGATTAAGAGCTGCATGTTTTACCAACTTGAGCCAGCCAGGTGCCCCTCCTGGTTATGCTCTTAAGTGCTATGGTATACTATCTAAACTGTTTCGCATACTGCCTCTTTGTAGTCAAACAAACACTATTTTCCTTCCGTTGATTTCAAGTAGTTCTCAAATCCCACATAGTTGTTTAAGTTCATTGTCATACCCTCCCATATTTTCTTTCCCATGTAGAATATTAGAATTTTAATCATATTACACTGGTTCTAGAATCTAGAAGTATGTCTAATACAAAGTAATTTCTTGATAGCTGTTTTGTGAATTATGTCTACTAATATTTAGAAAATAACTGTTTTGCAAATTTAATTATGTCTGCTAATATTTAGAAAATCTCGGTGTTCTTTCTTATATGGGAGAGAAACAAAGGTCAGCTTCTCAGCCTCAGAATATAGATAATTGATGTAATTAACCAACTAAGCTAGTTTATTTACCTAATGTACTGTACCCACTTTGTATTCTTATGAACTAATAAAACAGAGATGTTTACCTTCAGAAACATCTCTGTTTAACTTCTAAGCCCTCTCAAATTAATTTCCAGATTTTCGTTATTAATTAAACTCAAGTTTTCCTCTCCATTCTAAAAGGCAGCCATTCCAGAAACAGACTCTCTAGTACCACATACAGTCTTTCATTCATCAGGCCATCTTGTTTCTGAATGTTATCTAATTTTTGAAATACAGTTAAGGTCATGTTTATTTCTGGAATGATGGTTTCCACTCTGAAAAGATCACAGATCTCAGTCATTCCTTTAAGGGCAATAAACAAGTTAAAAATTGGGGAAGTGGGGCACCTGGGTGGCTCAGTCGGTTAAGCATCTGATTTCAGCTCAGGTCATGATCTCACAGTTTGTGGGTTTGAGCCCCGTATCAGGCTCTGTGCTGACAGCTCAGAGCCTGGAGCCTGCTTCAGATTCTGTGTCTCCCTGTCTCTGCTCCTCCCCCACTCACATTTCTCTCTCTCTCTCTCTCTCTCAAAAATAAACGTTAAAAAAATTGTTTTTAATTGGTGAAGAAATCCTGGCCAGATAGTCCCTTCCACACCTTCTCCAGAGGTAGTCTAATGGCATCATGTTAAGATGGACACACCTTTCCCTTCTGGTGTAACATAACTGAGATATGATTTGGGACATTAGCTGAGAAGTGCCCAGGATTGGGAAATGTTAGGTCATGTAGAGCCAGTATTTACCCAAGGGAAGGGCTAGAGATAGACCTTTCATAGGTACTGTTTCAGGCTTACATTGGAAATAACCTACACAGACAAAAAAAAAAAAAAATCAAAAAAATAAGCAAATTTAACAATTGTGTTTAACAACATCAAGATTTCAAAAAAGCACTGCCTTTTATAAGTAGGGTATTTGAGACTTTGTCTTTAGTGTTAAACTTTGTTTTAAAGATATAAAAATTTTTGGACAGTTCTAGAAATTTTTAGTCTGTTAATAATTTAAAAGATTAAAATTTAAAACTCTTATAACTATTTGAAAGTACAAGATGACAAAATAAACTTAAGTCTACGGATTGAATTCTGATTAAATCTTTGCAAAAAAAATGTTCTCTAGAGATATCTTTATGTAAATATTTCAGCAAATTATTCTTACGCAGTCTCCTTTCTTTGGAACTCAGCAGTCTTTTATTGGAATATGACTTTTTTAACAGTGTGATTCTTGTATCTTTTTAAATTATTTTCTTCAGAAAATTACAGTGATGATTTTGAAGATGAGGAGGATATTGATGCACCTTTGACCACTAAAGAAGAGACTAATTCCAAAGAAAATCCCAAATCTGAAAAAATACATGTACCCAAACAGGTGATACATCAATTATATATTTGACAGTTTTGAAATTTCTTTCATCACCTTAGCTGACTGTCACTATATGGAGAGCTCAAAATACAAAGTTCTTTATTGTCTTTCTCATTGTTATAAAGCTATAGGTCTCTTAACACTCAGACATTTTCTTAATTCAGGATGTCAATCGTAATAAATTTGGCAATTGATTTTCTTTCTTTCTTTAAAACTTTTTAACATTTATTATTTATTTTTGAGAGATAAAGAGAGACAAAACATGAGCAGGGGAGGGACAGAGAGAGAGAAGGAGACACAGAATTTGAAGCAGGCTGTAGGCTCTGAGCTGTAAGCACAGAGCCCGATGCAGGGCTTGAACCTACAAACTGCGAGATCATGACCTGAGCCGAAGTCAGATGCTCAACTGACTGAGCCACCCAGGTGCCCCTGGCAATTGATTTTCTAAAGGATCTCTTTTGGCAAGTAATTTCCTTAAGCTTTAAAAATTAAAATTTTAATTGAAATCTCAAATCTAATTTTTAAACAGGTATATTAAGCTATACTTTCTTTGGTAGATCTTGTCCTTGTGAAATACAAAAAACATCCCTCCTCAGTATTTATGCTAGCAGTGACATTACTGTCTGAAACTTATTAGACTAAGATCATGAATTAATTCATTACTTCATTCATACTCAGTGTTGCTATACTTCAGATCTCTTCTTAGTTCTTAGCAAGATTGGCTAAGGATATTACTACATAATGTCTGCCATATAGAACTCTCTGAAGCTACTTATATTAACAAGTTGGATAATTACTATTTGTTATGTTAGTCTTTTTTTTTTTTTTTAAACGTTCATTTATTTTTGAGACAGAGACAGAGCATGAATGGGGGAGGGTCAAAGAGAGAGAGGGAGACACAGAATCTGAAACAGGCTCCAGGCAGGCTCTGAGCTGTCAGCACAGAGCCCGACACGGGGCTCGAACTCACGAACCGCGAGTTCATGACCTGAGCCGAAGTTGGACACCCAACCGACTGAGCCACCCAGGCGCCCCATTATGTTAGTCTTGATCTATATAGTCAGGTCTCTTTGGGGAGTGCATGTTAGGATTACATGTTTTAAACATGTGTGAAACCATAGACTGTCTAAACAGAAGCAAAAAATACTTTCCAGGTATCAATAGATACTCTCATTTTAAATATACCTGGTGCTTTGTCACTAGTTGTCTCTATATCACTCAGTTTAGTGGGGAAAATAAGAAGACCTCTAGAAATACATGAAGATTAATGTGATCTGCTGGCTTTCCTTAGAAGCTTACTAGCATTTATATTTAGAATATGGCAATTTAAATATTTTATGAAAAATAAGTCAGTAGAAGACACAGTGGTTTGACATATTAAGAAAATATAGGGGTGCCTGGATGGCTCGTTCAGTTGAGCATCCGACTCTTGGTTTTGGCTCAGGTCGTGATCCCAGGGTTGTGGGATTGAACCCCACGTCAGGCTCCACGCTGAGGGTGGAGCAGGCTTGAGATTCCCTCTCTCTGTCTACCCCCTCCCCTGCTCAGGCATGCACTCTCTCTCTCTTAAAAAAAAAAAAAAGAAAAAAGAAAATATAGGCCTGCATAAAAATGTGTCAGTGTAGAAGGAATTAAAGCTCTGTTATTATGGAATAATCAATCCTACATGTTGCCTATCCAAGTGGAGAACGTAGGTGACCCTAATTACAAAACTTACTCTAACGGAACTTATAATTTTGATAAATTTCAATTATCTTGCCATTTGGTGGCCTGCCTCTTTGAAAATTTTGTCTCTCAAAATGTAACTGAAACAGACTACAAATTATAGTTGATCATTAATTTTGAAAAGAAGAGAAAAGTGATTGATGATGTTATAATAGCAAGAATCTTAGATAAAGTATCCATGTTATCTTGGAGTTCAAAAAATAGAATTTCTAAGCAAGGTGAATGAGCAGATGGCATCAAGATTCTTTAAACAAGGCTTATAAAGGCCTAAACTAATTGGTAATTGCTCCAGTCCTGAAGTTCTTTCATAGCTATGTTCTCTAGTCTTGTAAAATTATTAGTGAATGGGAGTAATAAAAGAAATCTGGAAGGTACATTTCTTTCTCATGATGGAGTAAAACACTGGTTTTCAAATTTTGCTACTATTTGCATTGTGGTCATTTTATATAATTTTGGTTTCAAATAATATGATTATTTTCTTCTTTTAATTTAGGAAGAAGAGAAAACTGGCATGCTGGCTAACGGTAAATATTACATATTCACATATTTTAGATAGCAAAAATTGGTCTATTCAGAATAGTATCAAAATAATTCTGCAGAAATTGCTATCTCTTTTGTTTTTAAATATCTTTAATGAATTAAAGTCCACAGATTTTCTCAATGATTGGTCCCTTATGCTTGTCTTGAATCCTTCCTGTTATATGTAAGAATATATTATTTTTCTAAACACTAGGAGCAGATGGCATTATGGGTAAATTCTACCAAATATTCAAAGATGAATTCATATCAATTCTTAGAATGTTCCAAAAAATTGGAAGAGGGAATTCTTCCAGACTCATTCTTTGAGGCTAGCATTACCCTGATAACTAAAACCAGACAAAGACACCTCAAAAAAAGAAAACCACAAGAAAGCAATCCCATTTACAATACCATGAAAAAGAATAAAATATTTAGGAATAAACTAACCAAGAAGGTGAAAGAGGTGTACACTTAAAACTATAAAACATTGATGAAAGAAATTAACACAAAAATAAATGAAAAGATAACTCTGTGTTCATTGATTAGAAGAATTAATGTTAAAATGTCTTTATTACCTAAAGTGATCTACAGATCCAGTGCAATCCATATCAAATTCAAATGGCATTTTTCACAGAAATAGGAAAAATAATCCTAAAATTTGCATGGAACCAAAAAAGACCCCAAATAGCCAAAGCGATCTTGAGAAAAAAGAATAAAGCTGGAGGTATCACACTTCCTGATTTCAAATATATTACAAAGCTACAATAATCAAAATAGTATGGTATTAGCATAAAAAAACCACATAGATCAATGGAATAGTAATCAAAATAGTATGGTATTGACATTTTCAACAGAAAGTTCAGAAATAAATACATGCATATATGGTCAATTAGTTATTGATAGTGGCACAAAGAATGCACAGAAAAGGAATAGTTATTCAGTAAATAGTGTTTGGAAAGCTGGATAGCCACATGCAAAAGATAAAACTTGACCCTGTCTTACCCCATACACAAAATTGAACTCAATGGATTGAACACTTGAACATAAGACCTAAAACTGTAAAACCCATAGAAGAAAACATGGGGTAAGCTCTTTGATACTGGTCTTGGCAATGGTTTTTTAGATTTCATACCAAAAGCAGAAATAAGTGAGGTTGATTGCATCAAACTAAAAAGCTTCTGCACAGCAAGGGAAACCATGAACAATATGAAAAAGCATTCTGTGGAATGGGAGAAAGTATTTGCAAACAACATATCCAATACAGGGTTAATATTCAAAACATACAAGGAACTCATACAAATTAATAGCCAAAAATGGCCAATAGGCACATAAAAAGATGCTTAACTTCACTAATTATCAGGGAAATGCCATTAAAAACCACAGTGAGGGACACCTGGGTGGCTCAGTTGGTTAAGTGTCTGACTTCAGCTCAAGTCATGATCTCATGGTTCGTAAGTTCAAGCCCTGCGTTGGGCTCTGTGCTGACAACTCAGAGTCTGGGGTCTGCTTTGGATTCTGTGTCTGCTTCTCTCTCTGCCCTCCCCTGCTTGCTCTCTGTCTCTCTCTCTCAAAAATAAATGAACATTAAAAAAATTAAAACAAAAAAACACAGATACTACATCATACTTGTCAGGATGACAGTTTTCAAAATGATTAGAGATAACAAATGCTGACTACGATGTGGAGAAAAGGGAACTCTTATTTGCTGTTGGTGAGAATGTAAACTGGTATAACCACTACAAGAAACAGTATGAAGACTCCTCAGAAAATTAAAAATAGAACTATTACGTGATCCAAAGTCCCACTTCTGGATATATATCCAAAGAAAACAAAATTATTATCTCAAAGAGATATGTATAGTCCCATGTTCTTTGCAGCATTATTTATAATAGCCAAGTATGGAAACAAGCTAAATGTCTGTCAGTGGATGAATGAAAATGTGACACATATATACTAATGAAATGTTGAGTCCTAAAGGAAATTCTGTTATTTGCAACAATATGTATCACTTGGCTATATTAAATAGCAAGACAAAGGTGAATATTGCATGGTATCACTTATAGATAGAATTTAAAAATAAAAGTTGAACCCAGAAACAGTAGAATGAGGTTGCTAGGAGCTGAGGGGTGGGGAAAATGAGGAGAGATTAATAAAGTATAAACTTTCAGTTATAAGATTAAAAAAAAAAGTCTGAGAAAAAAAAAGTCTGAGAATCTATATAAGTACAATTGTGATTGTTATATAATTAAAATTTGCTAAGAAAGTAGAACTTAGCTGTTCTCACCAAAAAGGTGATGCATGCCTTAATTAACTCAGTTGTAAGAATCCCTTCACAATTTACATAAATCATCACATTTTCCACATTAAATATATTACAGCTTTGTTTTTCAATTATACCTCAATAAAGCCAAAGAGGGGAATAAAAAGATGGTTAATTAACAATAGAAAGTGTAATTTACAGAGTCTCAACCAGTGGTTATGGTATTAGTTTCAGTTGTACAATACAGTGAATGCTGAAGTTCAATGCTTCCATACAACTCATCAAACAAATGCATTCCTTAATCCCTATCAGCTATTTAACCCATCCCCCCAACAAACTGGTAACCATCAGTTTGTTCTCTATAGTTAAGGGTCTGTTTCTTGGTTTGCCTCCCTCTCTCTTCCCCGCCCCCCCTCCTTTGTTCATTTGTTTCTTAAATTCCACATAGGAGTGAAATCATACGGTATCTGTCCTTCTCGGACTTATCTCGCTTAGCATAATACTCTCTTATCATTTGCAACGACATGGGTGGAGCAATGTATAAAAAAATTAATTTGACTGGCTTTATTGCAATATTTGCTTTATTGCAGTGGTCTGGAATTGAACCTGCAGTATCTGAGTTATACCTGTATATGATATTAAAAAACTAGATGTAGATAGTTACGTACAGAAGAATGAAATTAGGCTCTTATCTCACCCCACATACAAAAGTCAACTCAAGATGGGTCAAAGGCTTAAATATAAAACCTGAGACTGTAAAATAACTAGAAGACATGAGAAAAAAGCTTCTTGGCATTGTGCTAGGGAATATTTTTTTAGATATGACCCCCAAAACACAACCAACAAAAGGGAAAATAGACAAATGAGATTGCATCAGGTTAAAATGCTGTCTGGCAAAGGAAATAATCAGGTGAAAAGGCAACCTATGGAATGGAAGAAGGTATTTATAAACCATATTTCTGATAAGGAGTTGATACCCAAAATATGTAAGGAGCTCATGCAACTCAATATCAAAAAACCAGAGAACCCAATTAAAAGTGAGCAAAGGACCTGAATAGAAGTCTTCAAAAGAAGACATACTAATGGTCAACAAACACATGAAAAGATGCTTAACTTCACTAATCATCAGGGAAGTGCAAATCAAATTAGATATCCTCTCCTACCTGTCAGATTGGCTGTTTATCAAAAAGACAGAAAATAACATGTTTGCGAGGATTTGGAGAGAATGGAATTTTTGTATGCTATTGATGGAATATAAATGGGTGCAGCTACTATGGGAAATAGTATGGTGGTTCCAGAAAAAAATTTAAGATGGAACTACCTTATGACTTAGTAATCCCACTTCAGGGTATATATTTTAAAGAGATATCTGTACTCCCATGTTCACTGCACCATCACTTACAATAGCCAAGGTATGGATACAACCTAAATGCCATTGACAGATGACCAATAATATGATAGTACACTGTGGAGGACATACTGCTAAGTGAAATAAGCTGGATGCAGAAAGACAAATACTGCACTGTTCTGTGAAAGGGAGGTATATGCAAATCAAGCTTCAAAGGCCAAAAGAGTCCTAAGACCAAAGGAAAAGGCTGACAAGTCCAGCTTGACAAGAAATGGTTTATTAGGGAAACTTAGAGGGAGAAGCCTGTTTGTGCACCACAAGATGAGTAGATCTCCACAACCCTCCTCCCTTAGGACCTGCTTTTATAGCCCTCGAGGCTGGGAGTACATGCTGAGGGATGACTCAAAGGGAAAATGTTTAAGAATACGTATGGATCAGCTTTGGTTTTCTTTTTCTTTTTTTTTTTTTTTTTT